GTCATTCCCGGGGAATGTAGAGGTCACTCGCGAGGAGGGCACGGGTCCTTCCCGGGGAAGGCATGGAGATCACTGCCTGGGAAGGCAGAGGTCACTCCGGGAGAAGGCAGAGGTCGCTCCCGGGGAGGGCACGGGTCATTCCCGGGGAAGGCAGAGGTGATCCCCGGGGAGCGCAGAGGTGATTCCCGGGGAGGGCACGGGTCATTCCCGGGGAGGGCACGGGTCATTCCCGGGGAGGGCACGGGTCATTCCCGGGGAGGGCAGAGGTGATTCCCGGGGAGGGCAGAGGTGATTCCCGGGGAGGGCAGAGGTGATTCCCGAGGAGGGCACGGGTCATTCCCGGGGAAGACAGAGGTGATTCCCGGGGAGGGCACGGGTCATTCCCGGGGAGGGCAGAGGTGATTCCCGGGGAAGGCAGAGGTCATTCCCGAGGAGGGTACGGGCACGGCTCATTCCCGGGGAAGGCAGAGGTCATTCCCGAGGAGGGCACGGGTCATTCCGGCTCCACCGCCCTCGCTCCCGCCCCTCCTCCGCCCCGCCAGGGGCCGCTGCCGCCGCCGCCCGCCCGGAAGCGCCGCCATGCTGAAGGAGCGCCGCGCATGTTCATGGCCGCCGCCGCCATCGGGGCACGGAGCCCGGGCACGGGGAGCGGGACGGCGGGACCGGACCCACGGACAGGTACCGGGGCCGCCCGGGGGGAGCAGCGGGAGGGCCGGGCCGGGGCGGTGCCGTGCGAGGCCCCGCGGGGCGGCCGGGCCCCGCTTTCCCTGAGGCTGCTCCTACCGCCCGTGCAACCTCCCCCTTTCCCCCCCCCATCCCACGTTTCCGCCGGGAGCAGGAACCCGGGAGGCCCGTGCTGGATCCCTGCCGAGCACGGGTGCCCCGCTCTGCCGGCCCGCCCCCAGCCCTCTGCCCCAGGCGGCCGCGTTCGGTGCCCTGAGCACCGATTATCGACTCCACAGGTGCAGACGCAAACCTTCGTCTTAGCAGTGTGGGTCGGGGCTTGTTTGGTTGTTTTGGTTGTTTTGGTTGGTTGGTTTTGTTTTTAAGCTCCTTCCTGTTTCCACCAAGGAACAGCAGCTGCGTGCCCCTCCCAAGGGCGGGAGGGGGGGAAACGCGCTGAGGCTTCCACCAGGAATTCCTGCGGGTGAAGTGGATGAGAGACGTAACTTTACATTCCCCAGCACGGTGTCATTCGAGCAAACCGATGGGCCCGGGGTGCCCTCCCTCAGTTCTGTTGAATTTGTCACGCAGTGCAGTCAGCTGTCACAGCAGATACCTGCCCAGGGTAGCATTGCAATAGCTATTTTTGGGGGGATTTTTCCTTAGGAGACTAGTTGGGTTTCTTAATAAGGACGTCTTCCAAAAGTTCTGACTTATCACACATCTGGGAATTTTGAAATTCAGGTCGTCACTTCTGTATTGGCCTCGTGTGTTTCAGCCAAACCCCGCCTTGCATGGCGAGAATCAGTCAAAAGTACATGTTAGCACCTGAGGTAAGTTTGGTGCATACCCTGGAAGTTTGATAGCTGGTTTTTTAAAAAAGATTTTTTAAAAAAATCATACAAAGTCAGTATTGCAGTAAAAGTCTATAAATAGGCAACGACACTGGAACTTTTATGTAGTAAAACTTAGTCAGTGCTCAGCAGACACTGAGAATAAGAATTTTTCTGGTTTCATTGGCACCTACTCTTTACTTCTTATTTGTATTATTCAGTGCAGATCTGAAAAGCTCGAAACTTTAGGAGTTAACTCTGCATACAAAAATTTGAGTGAAAAAATGTTCAGATAGCCTGGTAATTTAGGACTGGATTAGTTCTAGCTCTGAAAATAAAGGATTTAGGTTTTGACCTGAGAAATTAGTGTTAGGTATTAGAATAATTAAGTCTTGTATTTTCAGATCACTTGCAAAAAAAAACAGTTTTCATTGTTTTCAGAATGAAACATTCCCTTTTCTGCAAACTCACAGGTTTATAATGTTGTGCCTCTACTTGGAACTCCTTGTGCCTCTGTTATCATTGCTTTAATTTAAATGTGAAAGCTGGGCTGAGAAAACTTGTTTAAAAATAATTGTTTGGTTATACTCAGTTCTGTCTCAAATTAGATATAAAATCACACTTCAAGACAAGTTTCCTAGCCTGAGTAGAACCCAGCATATCATTTATATTTGCATCAGCTAAGTCACTAGACAATACCATGTCCTATACAAGACCTTTAAATTACTGCCCATGCCGTTTAATGTATGGAAATGCGTTGTGTGATTTCTTCAGACATACACATCTGTTTGAAAAAAACTGAAGTATTAAAATCCAAAGTGGATTTCTGCTCCAAAAACTTTTCAGATTAATTTTAAAAATCCTATGAACTTACCCTTCTCTTTCAAACTCTTGCACTGCTGTGTTCATGTTTCTGTATTTTGGCCAGACTTACACATTTCATGTCATTAGATTGTGCCTGATGCTATATGCTTTCATTTTATTGAAAGTAGCATCTCAGGACTCTTGTCCATTAGACAACTGGCTGATACTTTGATTGATTAAAAGGCCATATTACCCTGTTCAGTGGTTAGAACAAATGTGTGTGTTGTGGTTTAACCCCAGCTGGCAACTAAACACCACACAGCCGTTCACTCACTCCCCTGCAGTGGGGGGAGGATCGGAAGGGTAAAAGTGAGAAAGTTGTGGGTTGACATAAAAACAGCTCAATAATTAAAAGAAATTTTTTTAAAAAAATGTTTTAAGGGAAATAAAAGGAAAACCAAAAGAGAGCAGAAAGTAAAACCTGAGAAAAAACAAGCAGTGCAAGTGGAAACAATTGCTCGCCACCAACTGAGCAATGCTCAGCCATTCCCAGAGCAGTGACCCCTCCCCACCAGCCTCCACTTCACTGCAGAGCACAAGGCCATGTGGTCTGGAACATCACTTGGGATCAGCTGTCCTGGCTCTGGTCCCTCCCAGCTTCTTGTGCCTCTCCTCAGCCCCTCACTGGTGGGGTGGGAGGCAGAAAAGGCAGTGACACTGTAAGCACTGCTCAGCATTAGCTAAAATATCACCAGGTTATCAGCACTGTTGTGGTCACAAATCCAAAACACAGCCCCATACCATCTACTGTGAAGAATTACACTCTATCCCAGACAAACACAGTACATTGCTTTTTTGTTTGTCTGGTTTTTGCCTTTGCAGAGTAGTGCGTGGGTGAACATGAACGTCCCACTTAGGCTGAACTCGTTGTACTTAGGGTTCCTGGAGGATTTAAGAGCACACGATTCCTTTCTTTTGGTAGAAATTTGTTCTTTATGTTGCAGTAGAAAAGAATGTAAGATGGGCTCAGGCTCTTATGTGTTAGGGCTGGTACTGGATTAGCAACAGACTTTGGCCTGGGTGTGAGACCAGTCTGCAACAGCTCACTTCATGTTTTGTGCCTGAATTAGTGTTTAAATAACTGCCCAGTCTTTACCTCAGACACACACAGCACGCAGCTGCAGGGAGCTGCACACAATGGCCACAAAAACTGCACACATCTAGAACCACCAATCTTTGTGCACACCCCAGACTGGTTCTTGAAGAGGCTCAGGTTGATTCAGTGTGTTGACTTGCACCTGATACACGGGGGAGGAACACATAGGAGAGCGCTGTGGGATGAGGATTGCTGACTGACTTCAGCCAGCCTGTGCAGCCTACCTTCAGCAGCCTTTTTTCCCCCCTTAGAAACTACCTGGAAACAGGATGGGTGAGTTGTTTAGCCATCAGCAGTCTCTTTCTGTGGGCAGTCTGAACAACTGGTCTAGACTAGCAGGGATTGTGCCAAGAGAGGGGGCCCTGACCAGAGCAGGTTGCTGTCTGTACAATTCAGCCACCTCATACCTTGCTCCCAAATTGTTTTTGTGAAAGTAATGCTGCTAAACATTTTGAATAGATGCTTATTTTAGCTGGGAAAAAGTGCCTCTGAAAGGAAGATGAGATGCATGGTTTAATTCCAGAATAAATTTAGTGTCTTTTTAATCTTATCTAGACTAGGAGACTATAATTTTTTTACATGTTTGTTAAATTACTTAAACCAGATATGTCAAGCTTATGGATAAAAGTTTGCAGTGCAAATCTAATTGATTTTAATTCTCCCTCTAGGGTGATCTTCACAGAAACTCCTAAAGGCCTCAAAGAACTCATTTTAGGCAAAACAAGTGCAATAAGTTGTTCTGATAAAGTAAAATGGATCCTTGTTCAGTTGGAGTTCAGCTTCAAGCTACCAATGAGTGCCATAAGACCTATTACACCCGTCACACTGGCTTCAAGACTAAGCAAGATGTATCTTCATCTGACCTGCTGTTGCTTCAGCTCAGGACTGGAATAACCCTTTCAGAGAACAACACAATCTGCTTCCACCACGCGAAAATTTACATTGAGAGATTCGAAGACTTACAGAAATCATGTTGTGACCCCTTCAACATACACAGAAAACTGTCCAAGAAAAACTTACGAGCCATTGATATGGATGATGCAGCTTTTCTCAGTGCCAAGTTTGGGAGGCAGTTTGTGCCCGGTTGGAAGCTGTGTCCCAAATGTATGCAGATAATAAATGGAAGTGTGGATGTTGAACCCGAAGAGCGACAAAGAAGAAAACTGGATCCGGACGTACGTATATGGATCAGTTTTCCCATCCCCCCCTAAGTCCTGCAAGCTGTTGGAATTGGGCTTTGTACAACTACTACGTAAAAAAATTAATTTTTTTATGATAGAAATAAGAAAGGATTTAGTCTTTTAGATATGGGGGAGTTTACTGTATTTAAACCTTAATTTGGAGGACCTTAAAAGTCGTCTTCTCTAATTAAATATTATGGCCTTTAAAAATCTGAAAAATTTTGTCTGCTAGGGTGACTTACAACTCATAAGTTCGTGTAAATACCAGACTGCTGCTGGTATTTTAAGCTGTTCTTCAAGCCTTGCAAACAACAAACTGAACGCTGCAGAAGTTGTTTGTGGGGATGTCTCTTCAGTTTAAAAAAAAAAAAAAAAAGGCAATTTTTTTCTAGCAGTTCATTACCAAATGAACCTGCATTGAGGTGAATTAAGTGTACTCTGGTTGTGGTGTCTGGGCTGTGAAGGCCACGGTGTTTGGTCAGGGGCAGTAATGAACTGGTGTGGGAGGATAGTGCTGAGCTCAGAATGCAGCTGGTGCATTGCTGTAACACAGGTCATCAGTAGCATGGGCAACCAAACCAAAGAGCTCCTCCACACATGCCCTGAGCAAAGCAGAATTCCACTCTAGGAACTACTGCACAACTATATTTTTTCAGTTACGTGTCAGTATGATTAGGAGGCTGATAGGAGTGAAATTTGAAAGCATTGATTAGAACTGCTACTGCAGAGCTCGTACTGCTGAGTTCTGAGACTGATACAGTTCTCCAGCATAAACATTTTAAGACTTAAGAATCCTAGGTCAAGAATTCACCTGGGTTATTACAATATCCTGGCTTGACTGGACATTTTCTTAAGAATGTAGATTTGTATTTATAATTAAAGGCCATTTTCTGTCTTTCCTCAGGGACGTACAGCCAAGGCTTTAAAGTCTCTGCAGTTTGCTAATCCAGGGCGACAGACTGAGTTCACTCCTGAGACCAGTAAGAGGGAGAAAAGAAGGCTGCAATCAAAAATTGCAGCATTTAATTCAGACAGGTAATCTGTTTGCTGTATTTACATTATCTTTCATTTCAAAATAAAATATCCTCTGTGGTCAGTGTCTCTGTAGCGTTCAACATTATCTATGTGGGTCTTCGTGTGTTTGTGAGTTGCTAAAGCTCACTCTCATTCTTGAGATATACAAACCAGAAGATAAAAGGTTGGCATACAAGCAATATTTCAGGCAATTAGAATATAAACAAGTGTTTGTGAGGCCTGACAATACTACACAGATCATAGATGTAGCTATTAATTTATGCATAAGCTAAAATTCTGATGATAGGCTAAATTTGAATATATTAGACTACACTTAAATATTGGAGTTGTCTTTCAGTAAGCTCAGTAACTACACTTGGGAAACAAAAGTGTGCAGGTTAGGACCTTGCCTTCCTTTTAAGCAACAAAGTTAGCATCCATGTTGGACAATACTAGAGAAGCTATAACCTAATGTGACTGATTTAAAAAAAAAAAAATCACATTTTTCTAAAGAGGAGAGTTGAACTTTGTTATTTTCCACTAAAACTTTGGACCAGTCTTGTACTAATAGAAGAGTGGTAGAAGTTTCAGCTTTAAATAGTTGTACAATATTTGTTAAAACATGCAGTAATTATCACATTAATGCCTTGCCACTGTTCTCCACCCAAGTTTAAACTCACAAGACAGACACTGGATGTGCTGCTCACCAGCTGCACATCCTTTTCCTCTCCGTTTGTTGCTTCTGCTTAGTTTGGGCACACAGTGGGAATACAATTAGGGCTGAGAAATGTTGTCAAACACAGTAGGGTAGGTATGTCTTTTAAATTAACAGCGCTGAAACGAACACCTGAAGAAAGCAAACTCCCCTCCACAAATTTAGCAGCTCGGCCTCAAAATAAGTGGATTTTCACACGGAAATAACTGTTGTTTTTCGTTATCCAGGCAAGTTATACCAGCCAAGAGCAAAGTCTATGACAGCCAGGGGCTGCTGCTTTACAGTGGGATGGACCTCTGTGACTGCCTGGATGAAGATTGCCTGGGGTGTTTCTATACTTGTCCCAAGTGCGGCTCCAACAAGTGTGGGGCGGAATGTCGCTGTGACCGCAAGTGGCTCTACGAGCAAATCGAGATAGAAGGAGGGGAAATAATCAGAAATAAGCATGTGGGTTAGTGCATGTGTGCATTATTTAATCCTGAGCTTGTATTCCATGCTTTGGTTAAACACGGCGCATTCATCATTTAGTAATTTAATGAAATGGAATTTGTGACAATCCGCAAGATTAATGTACTCACTTTCACAGTCATTTTCCGTATGATTATGGAGATAATTGTGCTGCTCTCTCTTCACACTTTATTCTGCAATGCATTCAGGCTTTTTAGTCACCCAGGTAGGATCCTACTGAACAATCACTGTATTTAAACACAAGGTGCTAAATCTTAATGTGATCTATCTTGAGCCACTCACTCATGAAATGTACCATCTCCATGTATCCCTCTTTTTTTCCTTCTCTAGATCAGGATCTTATGGGTTTTATGTGAAATACTGAAAGTTCTGAATTAATTTACATGCAGTATTAATAAAGCTCTCTCCAGTATTAATAATGAATGCTGCATCTTTACTATAGAGTATCTGATTAATCTGATTAATCCAATCCTACCCACTTGGAAAGGATTCAAAAGCATTTAGGTGTTCAGATTCCATGCAGGCTACTGGGATTTGAAGTCAAGTTATCCTTATTAATTCAAGCCTCACTGTTAAAATACTGGAATTAAACTACCAAGGCATTGTAAAATATGTTAAAGTATTAATTATGGCACAAAAGTTATTATTTTGTTGGTTTCTGTATAACACAATGAAAATAATTTTGCTCTGTTTGTTATCAGTCTGTAATTGGACTGAACTAATAGTCCAACAGCCCTCTACCCTTTCTTTTCCTCTTTTTACTTGTTTTTAAGGTGAAGGTTTATATGCAGCTGAAATAAATTTGAGTTTCTGTTCCCACACCAAGGATAGCTAGACTGTTACAAAAAAACCCACAGTCGAATTGAAATTATCTTTAGTTGATACATTATTTGTCCTCAGAGTATTAAACTCTTACGATATAACAAGGTTTATGGAAAAGAGATCTTACAAGTGAAATCTTAGTAATATTGTTATTCTTGCTATTTTTGTTGCATTTTGAATAAATTTCCTATTTCTGTGCTAGACTTGGAAGATCTGCATGTTTTATTTGTCACATTTATTCAAGAATACTGTTAACTATTGATTTCTAAAGACTCATTTGGTGAAGTTGTATAATCTTTCTATTTCTTCAGCATATTTTCTTTTCTGGTAAGTGTCATGAACATTGCATCACCAAAATCCAAAGTTGCTTTGAGTTCTACTGACATCTGCTGGTCCTGGCAGAGTATAAGAACCAACTTACACTACATTTTTATTAAATCTGTTATAAAAATAAACAGACTTCCTTTTTGTTTGGGCTGAGTGTTGACTGTTATTCCAATGGATGTCTCCTTGGCCTTGTATTCAGCCACATTTTATCACAAGAAACATGATGGGAGTTTTAGGGAGGGCCACACCCTACACTTTTCTAGATGGCAGCACCACAACTGAGTAATACCCATGGCTTCCCTTAATGCCAGTGGCATTTAACACATTTTACTTTGTTGAGTACAGAGCATGGTTATCCTGACACAGCAATTCATCTTGTGCACTTGACTCATGTTTGGAACTGCTTTATCTCTCAAGCAACTTTTTGAAATAGGCGAAAGTATAAATAAATAACTTCCCTGAACGTGGGAGGGTAAAAGCTGGGCCAGTCTTGTCATTTATGTGTATTTATTACTATTTTTAATTACACCAGAGTCAGCAGCACCCATTCTTAATAAACTTCATAGCTTTCCAAGTATGTGATGAATATAACAAAGTCCACAGCTAGATTTTGGATTCAGGAATTACCTATAGCTTAAGTTGCCTAGAGCACCCCCTCTGGGGGTGGTTGGGCACTGGAACAGGCTCCCCAGGGCAGTGGTCACAGCACCAAACCTGACAGAGTTCAAGAAGTGTTTGGACAACACTCTCAGACTCTTGAGGATGGTGCTGTGCAGGGCCAAGAGTTGGACTTGATGATCCTTATGGGTCCCTTCCAACTCAGCATATTCTGTGATCCCATTATGAACTATGTTTCTCCACCTCCACTGAGTCTCTGCAAAGTTGGTGTATCCAGTCCCTCGTTTTACAGGTGCAATAGCAATGAATATTTTCCCAAATAAAGCACTCAGCTTGTTTCCTAACAAAATGCAGAGGACTGTTGTTTGACTAAAAACCCGGGTCAAGTACTGGGTACTGTTGATTATTATAGTGGCTACAGGACACATAGGGTTGGGTTTTCTCCTAGTAAAAAGCCCAACTTTTTGGTTTGAGCTGTTCACTTACCTTCTTAACATATTTAGGGCATTTCCATTTAGCTGCATTTCTTTGTTGTGCCTAGGCTGTAGGGTGTAATTAAGTTCAATAGTGTGGTTTTATGCAGTTCCATGTACCCCTCATCTATTTTTCTGTTAAAAGACATCATTGCAAGTCGAGCTTCACCATCATGCTAGATTTAAAATGCTTACAGCTATGAATTTCTTCAGGTTTTTTCTCTATATTTTTAAAAACACCACACAAGCTATTATCATCATCATCTAAAGTGATTGCACATGGCTCCCAGTAGCATGTGTACTTCCCCATCTTTCAGAATTACTCTACAACTAAGCCTGTTAAACAACTGCTTTCCATGCCATCCAATAATTCTGGTCTCATGACCACTTTAAACTCTGCATGCAGTGACAAGAGAAGCCAACTGCAGATACACCTCAGTGGATGTATTAAAACTTTCCTTTTGGTATTAACTGCAAAAAGTGTTGCCTAGACAAAGTTTACATATTTAAAAGACAAAAATCGATGACAGTGAAAGACTTTGATTTGTGGATAATACATATCCCGTGAGTTTATTGAACAGAAGCTCCAGAATTGTGATCTTGTGAGTTCAGTGTTAAGGATTGTTTTGGTTTCTTTCTCACACAGAGCAAATTTCACACCAAGTTTAGAAAATACTCAAATTTACATCTTCTAAAGTCAGTGAGGGTTCTTCTGTGGATCTTTTGCTACCACACAACCCTGTGGTCATACGCAAGACAGGATGTGCCCTTTTGTGGAGCTGAAAGTTTAAAACCAATTAAATAACCCCTGGGATTATTTTTGTTTAATACTCAGCAATATAGTACAGCCAGGTAATTAACTCAGAAAGGGTTTATATTAGCATTTTCAGCATTATGCTACAAAAAGGCATTTATCTTTGGGAGATACATTATAACCTTAACCAAATTCATTCTTTACCTTTTAATTAATTAAAATCATAAGTTTACTAACATAAGACAACTCCTAACTTTTTAATCTCTCGGTTGACTATTCAAGACATAAGAAACAGCAAAAAGTGGACAGACCTACACAAAAAAAAATGTGATTTTATAAATCCAGGAGTCAGAATTAAAGCTTCTATGAGAAAAGAAGAAAACTATTAAGGTGACTAAATAATTTTTTACTTATTTTAGACCTGTTTTAATGTTCTTTTTAGCCTTTTCTCGTAGGCATTACCCATATTAGCCAGAATGGGCCAACAGACAACTGTACAAAAGCTCTCACTGAAACCCCATAGTGACAATGCTACACAGAGGTGAAGTGTTCTGTCACTTCTTAAGTGACAGAAACATTCCGGCTTGCTGGGATCAGCATTAAGGCCTTAGAGTTCTCAGTCTCATGAAAAAGCATAAACAATTTCCAGTTTTAATTTGTTTTCCCCTAAGGTTAGAGTTACATTTTTTTGTCATATTTATGTCTCAATAAATGCAGTTTCTGCATTTTTCAACTGATCTCGCAGTGGAATATGGGATGTACTGACATGCAGTAGCTTGTCCCTCACGGTCCAGATATTTTTCCCCTATATTTTTAAGTTTAGCAAACATTCTGAAAGTTTTATTCACCTTCATACTGATTTCTAACCAGTTAATGTCATACTAATGACAACTTATTTAAACAGCAGAAATGCTTCTCTCCATGTTAGACATGCTTTTAAATCATACTATTAGTAGAGGAACAGTTTATTAAAATTATTGTATTTGAAGATCTTTAACTACAAGTTGGATCTAATATTCAGCAATGTGGAAGCCGACCAGAACTATTTCTGTTATTCAGTCACTGATTCCAAATCTAAGCTGTCCTCCAAACACATATTAAAAAGTGCTGTGGGGAGGTGTGAATGGTTGCAATTAAACTGTGGAGTTCACTCCTTGGAGGAGTTGTGTTCAAAACCCAGTATCCTGCTCTGAAAGAGGGGATTTTACATTTTCTAAGTTCTTCGTACCCAGCAGAGGGCATCAGCTCACTGCAAACGTGGCCCTGAGCTTCCCCGGGCTGCACTTGGGAGAGATGTAGCCCCAGAACGGGGGGATTTCATTGACAGACTGAGAAATCAAGCCCAGGACAAGAGAAGTATCACCCAAATCCATGAGGCTGCGATAGAGCAGACTCAATTACAGGTTTAACACTTCAGAGAAGCTGATTTGTTTATAGGACTTTATAAGAACTTCACACCAGCCCCCCAAATACCCCGATGACTGCTAGTTCTTTAAGAGGAGAGCAACACAATTTTTGCGGGTACATTTACATTTTGCTGTGAAACCTTGGTTCAGAGCTGAACATTCCCTTAGAAATTCAGTATTGGGCAGCCAAGAAACCCCCTCCCAGCAGGGCCCTGCACTGATTAGAGGGAACTTCCTGACATCCACACTGGTGCTGCTGCCAGTGTTTGACAGTATTTTAGCAGAGTAGCTACAATAGTAGCCAGAAGCAGCCTAGTATAAGGTGTGTTGGGTGAGGAAAAGTCAAGAGAGGCAGCTGGGGATGGGAAGTTTCCCTGGTTCTCCTACCGTGACTGAGTGGTGAGAAAGTTGCACTAATTCTTCTCTTCTTCCTCCAGCTTCCTTTGGTAGCCCTTCACCTGCACTCACCAGCAAATTAAATCTGCATCACACACTAAATTACCTCCTTTTCTAAGCTCTAGTTAGGACATTATTAACGATTAGACTACAATAAACTCAGTTCTCCATCTCACCCACAGGTGTCAGCATTATCTACTACAACCTCCAGAGAGTAAACAGAGAGTCCGTGCAGAGTCCCGGACTGCAGCCAGAAGTAAAAGCAATTCTCTTCCATCATCTTCTGATTTTCTCCTTGGTATTCTTCCATTTGTTCTTGCATTTTAACTGATAGCTCTACCTATTTTAAATTGATCATTTCAGCTACTGAATTAGTACCATGAAGAAGACAACATTATTTAACATAATAAAATAATATATATATATATATTTATCAGCAAGCATCAGCTGCACAACCTAGGTAAAGTGCTTACTAGGACCATCAGAATTTAATTCCTCACTGGGAATTCGAAGACCCTGATCCATTCGCAGCTTTTAAGATCTCTCAAGTCACCTGAGAAACTGAAACTAAAGAACCCATTAACACAACTACTTTGCTTAGAGGTAGAAAATCAGATTTTTACCAACTTTCAGTAGAATAAGTTTTCTTAATTCAGTATTTCTTTTTCTATTTAATTCTTCAAAAGAGTACCTGATAATCCAGATGAGAATGAGTTTTCTTCTAACTTCAGCTATTTTCTGCTGCATGTTTGTAGCATAAAAACAAAACCAAATCAACCAAAAATCCTCAAGCCTCCAAGCTGCTCCTTTTACACCTGTTTTATAACAGGTGACTTCCTTGTCAGCTTTAAATCAGATGGGCTGATTTCAATGTTCCTGACACTTTCTCTGACCAGCCCTTCTCAATAGTTATTAATTAGAGGTGATTAGTTTTAATTTGTTATCTTTGTGCTGCTTCCTGGGAATTCCAGTTCACCCTCTAAGAAAAGAGAAAAATCAGAGTGATTAGTCTGTTAAATACACTTGTGCAGGGTGCCTAACCTCCAGCAGGCTCCTTAAAATTGTGCAGGCTCCTCATAGCAGCACAGAGGGAGCCCCAAATCTCACTGCACTGTTCCATGTCTCAGTAGTGAGCTCCTCCTAACTGTCCTGGTGACTTGAGTGAAATGTCTTAGGGGGGTAAGCAAGCCAAGCAACCACGTGGGTTCTGTCCAGGTGAAATGTGGCATCAAAAAATGCTGGAACTGACAGAACTGTTTGGACAAAGAAACCATTCACCTCACTGGAAACAGGAGTGGAGATTGTGACTGATATCCTAGGGTCCTAGGAAGCCACTGCAGAAGGCAGTTGTGGAGCAACCATCAGTGTACACCTAAAATAAAATCACATTCTGTTGTTGGATTCCCACAGCAAAATGTTGGGTTGCCTTTACAGGATTGTCCCCTAAATATCTAGAGAACCCTGAAGTCCCTATGAAATGCCTGGATCTGAACTCA